CAAACGATACAGAACGGTCACGTGGAAAAGATGACACGTTTCAAGAGAGGGAGAGTAAACAAAGGGAGACGTGTAAAACCACCTACGAAACATTTTCGTAGGAAGATCCAAATGCACGAAGGCCCAAATACTCATGGAATACAAGACGCCTCGGTTAGAACCGAAACGTCCCCACAGAAAACGCCAGCTCTGCTGGCGGACCGAGGTGAACCAGGACAGAGTCAGAAGTAAGCCGGCATCCTGGGAGAACAGAGACACATCCCGTGTCGACATCCAAGCAAAGAGGTGTGCCAGATGCTGCAGCAAATCGGTAAGGTGACAGGAGTGAGTATGGAAGGGGGGACGGTCAGAAGAGGAGGCCTGTAGGAGACGGGAATCAGACGGTGCTGAGCTAAGACCGAAGGCCGCATTAGGGCGCTCAGGAACGCGGCTTTTGGCATTCCGGAAAGAAACTCCCATTTCAATGCATTTTGTGTCTACAAGGGAGCAGGTCTGCGTCGGGACAAGCGAACAGAAGCTGTGGCTGCCACGTTTTTCACCCAAGCATCAGTGTCATCGCAGGTCAGACATGTGAAAACTTTGGTCAAAAAGTACGCATCGGTTTCAAAAACGGTCTAATATTGCGTATCAGGTCATGTGAAGGGCGGTATGAAAATATATCTTAAATAGACAAAGTGGGAGGAAAAAAAATCCACCTAGGAGGGTTTTTTCCCATGAACGGAGATGAACCGTTAGGAAGTTACATCCGAGACTGCAGAGCCGGACGGACGATGAGATAAACAAACTGCATAAACATTTAACAATTCCAGGGAAGGCTTCTCTGCCCTCCCGCATCACCCCTCCTCTTAGGTTGTCACCAGGGAGCCTGCGTCCGTCCTGGACACGTCCTGCAATTACTGGCACGCGTCCCATCCCTCGATGCTGGGCTGAGAAGGCAGGTCAAAGAGTTAGGGGGTGAATATCGGAAAGGTCCAAAGTGCTTGGGAATGCAGCCTTTGGGCGAGGTTTTCTAAAAGGACAACGAAATCCTAAGACTTCAAACACATCCTCGAAGGGATTTACACAGACATGCTCTTCTTAATGGCCACAAAAGTCGTGTTTGGGTGAGAGTCTGTCCTTCTTAAACTAACTTGGAACATAGGACAGTTTTCCGCAAGCGTTCCCTTGAAAACGGCACAGCCCACAGCTGTTCAGTTTTAGAACCTCCATGTATTATCTCTGACCCTTTGGATCCAATTTCAGACAATCAGACAAAGACAGGCATCCAGTGAACACCCAGCAGAATCATTAGCAAAGACAAAAGCCACGCACAGCCTTTCTTGCACTGGTTAGCTGCCGACACCTCAACAGCTGTAATCAGAATCTTGTCTCTTTTCTTATGTGTATTTTACAGGCGAAATTAATTTTTTTTACCTTTGTGAAAATTTTAGATGCTGAACAAAGCAGGCATTTTCCTCAATTACCATGGTAATGCTGTTTTTGATTTTAAACCTCACTTATTTCTTATTGTGGAAAGAAGGCACCTTTTATAAACACTTTCCTTTACAATGAATTCGACTATCTTACTGCTTTAGAGACACTTTCCTTTAGGATGAATTCCAATATCTTACTGCTTTTTCTTGTGATTTTAGATTTTTAATTTTTTTGGAAGTCAAAATTGTCTACTGTTTTTCCTTTTCTCTTAATTATGCAAGTTTCAGGTGCACTCTTGTGATTTTTCAAAGGATGCTTTAAAACAAAATCACAGAAGTTTCCAACAAACCTGAGTTGGAAAAAGCAGCCAGATTTATGAGGTTCTGTGGGATCAGCCCCAGAATGACTAACCCTCGTGGATTTCTGTATGATCGGCTGGTCTGCGGGGCCCTCACGTTAATGCAAGCATGTAACTTACAGACTTACATCCATCTGTTCAAAAATCTGCAACAGAATCCCAGAGTCAAATATCTACCAGTATTCTACGATAAATTTTACCATAAAATCAAGCGGCCTTTACATTTAATTTTTAGTAACACTGGTTTGTACGTCAAAAGTTAAAGCCAAAATTTTAAAATACATATTGAATAGTAAATTTAAACTGAAAATTCACATTGTAATGCAAGAAAAGTTATCCACATTATGACAGCGCTCTCGTGACTTCTAACATATAATGGAAATAACGCTCTCAGATGACGATGAAGTTACACCATTTGCAGAGACAAGTAAATGACAGAATCATTATAAACACAGAATTATTAAATTACAGAGAAGGCATTGTATATAAAAGCTGAAGGGGATTCAGCTTTGGGAAGGGTGGAAACAGCCTTCTAGCTCTACGTTTTTGGAAAAATAAGTCTGGAATCGTAATATGCAAGCTTCCAACTAATCCAGACAAATGGGAATTGGATCCTAGCACTTCCAGTCAGCTCCAGTCTCCCGGAACCAGGGCAGCGCTGGTGAGCTGGCTCTCTCCGAGGGAGGGGCAGAGCCGCGATCCGCAGTGTCTGCTGTGGCCGGGGCGCAGACACTCCCCGCGCGGCCGACCTCAAGTCAGCAATGGTTTCACAACAAGCTGGCGAGACTCCCGAGCACCTCACTGCTGCCAGTTACTAAACCCTGACCGTAAATTCCTCTCTTCTTTCCTAACAGAGCACTTGGAGGTCAGGAGGCCACCCTCTTAACCCTAAGAATTATGGAAAGTGCCGCCGGGTCATCAGTGCTGACGGACGGCGCCCTGCCAGCAGCGTAGATCTGACATGATCTCAGCTGAATATGTCTGTCTTCTTTAGTCAACAGGACAAGTGATCCTTTCCTTACACAGCTGCTTTTCCCCAGCCCTTCCCACGGCTTGCAGCCCATCCAGAGCTAAGATGTGAAAAGCTCCCGGACAGGTGCCCACCCCAGCCTAGCCTAGAAGGTTCCACCCAGCAGGTGCCAAGTCCACACACGCACAACAAACGGACAGATGAAAACACGGAGGACACAGCCCCGAAGCCACGTGGGACAGTGTGACAGGTGAGGCAGCTCCCCCTGGGACTGAGTTTCGGGGACACCCTGAGAAGTAGATCAGGCGACTCGTAAAAGCCATGGTTTCCTGAGACCCCACGGCCAGGTGAGTGATTCCAGCACTGAAATGCTGCCATGGCGCCTCTGTGGCCGCCAGCTCCAGGCAGGAGATTCTAAGGAACTGCCTAAGAAGGAATGCCGCTTGTGTTTGTCTTCGAAGCACATTTTATCCCAGGGCCAGCTGCCTGTCAGAATCTCGGTCTTGTTGTTCTCACTTACTCCTATTTTCTGTCTCCTCCTGTCCCTTCTCTCTTTCCTCCTCCACATACTGTGTTTCTCCAGCCCCTGATCCAATATGTTCCTTCCGGCTTCTCTAACTGAGGGCGTGGGGACTGGAGGCGGGGAGGTCGGCTTTATTTAAATGCAGTTTTGCAACGGTTCAGGATGGGATGTCACCCTGCTTTCAACCGCCGACGGTCATGGAAACTTTGTTCCTTACGTCCCTCGCGGGCTCTGTCTAAAAGGAAGTGGGGAGGGCCACATCTCTCGTGGATGAGACGGGTCAGAGCTACCTGCTGCCAATTCACCTAAAAAAAGGGACAGCATTCCTGCGGGTGGTAGGAACGATGGACACACGGATGAGCTAGGTAGCCAGGACCCTTCCGGGTCTAGAACCGTAAGCCTGTGTGGTTCTGCCATAGTCACCTTCCAGAAAATGTCTCAAGGAAGCTGCCCAGACTGGAAGCATAAACCCGGCAGGGTGAACCTGGTATGGTGTCTGTGGAAGGGCTATAGTTTTCCACTTTAAAAAAAATGGGGCAGCTGCTCTTTACATGACATCTTTGGTACATGGGCTGGGGGAGCAGGGTGGGGAGGGGACTGCGTTGAAAACCAGTTTGAAGGAGCATCACGTGAGTTTAAGAATGCACCACCCGCCGGGGGCGGCAGCGGTTACCAGATATTCTGCGACAATCTTGCCTCTGGGAGCAGAACCCCAATGCACACTAGAGCAAAGGGGACTTTCCTTTTACCTCTCAAGAGGGAACTCAAAATCCAACATCAACACCCAGGGCTAGCGTAGGTATAATCATTGTGAGATTCCCACAGACTGCAAGCCATCTTAGTGATGTGAACCCGACTGTAATTCTAAGTTTAAATATATGACAACCATTTGTGGAACCTTTCCCTCCATGTAGAATGGTCACTTGGTTCCTCGTGCCCCTTAATGCCTGTTAGAAATTCCACTCTGTGACTGGTCACCGGAAAACCCAAAGTAGATTCCGTCACTGACGCAGGGCATGATTAAAAACAAACAAACAAACAACAAAAAAACCTAGTTTGGGAGCCAGGATAACACAGAAGCATTTGTATCTAGCAAATACACACGCGCCGAGACCACATACAGATCGGTAAGTCACGACCCCCGACCTCCGAGGGAGGCTCGGGAGGGACGGCGAGGTAAACATCGCAAAGCCACGCAGAGCCACGGAGCAAAGCTACAGGAGGGCGGAGGTGCAGGCCGAGCAGACGGCGCTTCGGGGGCTGGGGTCGGGGGGATTGAGAAGCACAAACGTGGAAGGAAGAGCAAGTCCTTCCAGGTAGAGGGAGCCACGAGCACACGCCACAGGGATGCCCAGAGCAGAGCAGCGGGTTGGCTGAGACTCAGGGAGCAGGCAGGGCCAGGACGTGAAGCTGAGTGGCTGGCGGAGCAGGAGGGAAGGGGCTGCGGTGCCTGCTGGGAACTGGGGCTTCCCCTGTCTCCCGGGAGAGAGGAGCCAGCCCTGGTGTAAAGGTGGGCGGAGGCCGTGGTCCGATGATGTCCCACCTGGACGACCTTCGGACCAGAAGGCATGAGAGAAGAAGGGAGGAGGAGGTGGAGGAAGCAGAAATCAAAACCAAGCATCCTTCAGGCAGGTCTTGGCCTCGTGAGAGCAAGGCCCTCCTGCGATCTGTTCTATTCCCACAGTGCCGACTGCACGCAGCTCTAGAAGGCTGGAAAGAAAGAGGCGTGTACTCACTGTTCCGCGGGTGCCAGCGCACAGCGTTCAGGTAGAAGTTGCAGTAATGGAAGAGAAACTCGTGATCCGAATGCTGGCTTTCCCCTCGGAGCAGGGGCATCAGGTCGCGCCCGTCAATGATCCTGCGGGAAAAACCAGGTGGTTACCAGGCGGCCACAACGTCCCGATATCTGAGTGGTCCTTCCCGCCAACGAGAGCATGAGAGAGCTACAAAGTGGTAATTAAGCAACCGGCGCTGAGAACACCAGCTGATCCAGCTGGGCGCCATATGCAATGCGGGGAGGCCAGCTGGGCTCAGGAATCAGCTGATGTCATCCTCTAAGGAGCTCCGTGAGTCGGGACTATTATCACCCCAAGATGATGGGACGAAGAAACGGAGTGACTTATCCAACGTCCTGTGTGTCGTAAGGGCCAATGAGAACCATGCCCAGCTGACTGGGTGTGATGCTTTCAACTGCCCTCCCCACGACTTCTCCTACATCCAGTTTTCTGCCTAGTGCCTTGGCAAACAGTTTATTCACAAACTCCAGGTCTATCAAAAATAAGAATTCCTGACAATCTGTGTTAAAAAAAAAAGGTAATATATAACACGGGACAACACAAATTGGATAGACTTCAATGAAAACGAAGTCCTAAGTCTGAATGAATGAATCTATAAATAATAACAATGATGACATTAAATGCCCTGAGGATGTAAAGACTCTTGCATACATTTACATATGACATACACCCATGACACATAGTGTTATGCCCTGAAGAGTAAATATATTCCTCTACGGGTGGGTGTTTACACCAACAAGGTAACATTCTAGTGGCAAACAATAACCATAGACAACTGGCAATGAGCAAATTAAGACTATTTGGAGGTTAATTAAAGAAAAAACAAGTCTATTTTTTATGGCTGAGTAGTATTCCATTGTATAAATAGACCACATCTTCTTTATCCAGTCATCTGTCGATGGACATTTAGGCTGTTTCCATGTCTTGGCTACTGTAAATAGTGCTTCTATGAACACTGGGGTGCAGGTGTCTTTTTGAAGTAGGGTTCCTTCTGGATATATGTCCGGGAGCAGGATTCCTGGGTCATATGGTAAATCTATTCCTAAAATTTTGTTTTGAGTGAAACACACATTCACAGCCACTAGGGAAATTACATGGTCACTGACAGCATCAGGTCACTTCCACCGAAACACGGGGCAGAAAGCTACTTGGAAAGAGACTGTTGGACTTGATGAATTTCTTCCTTTCATGAAAACCACTGCATCTCTGTCTTCCTCCATTATTGAGGGATTGAGAACCTGGAAGTTTAACTTGATGATATAATTCGTATTGCAGACTAAGAGGCCTTATGTCCTTTGAGTTTTTTCTTTCTTTTTTTTTGTGGTTTATTTTGGTGTCACTAAAATCCGCCTAATGTAATTACAGCCTCGCTGCTCCTCCAGCCACAGTCCTCAGTTATTAATCACGCGCTCTGCCGAGGTCCACAGAACTGAAAATATCCTCTTATCCTGAGCTAAAAATAAGAACAAAAGACAGACTTGGCTCACTTCCCAAGCCTGGTTCCTATCGGCCTGAGACGAACAGGGAAGAGAGACAGTTGTGTTCAGAAGCGGCAAGTTGCGTGAAAGGCTGTTTCTACCCTGAAATGACAGGTGTTGTGCCTTTGAAGAAAGACTCAGGCCTGAAGACGGTGAGATACTAAACAGGTGGGAAGAAAGGAAGGGAGGAGGACTGAGCACCTGAGCGGGAGGCAACCCCAGGACAGGTGGGTCGGACCTCCTCCACCACCTCTCCCTCCAAGGGGACAGAAGGCCTTTCCATGACGGCTCAAGAGTGAGAGTGAATTTCCATTCCTCGGAAGCGACCTCCACCTTCATTTCTTGAAGCTCTTTTTCATCGCAAGCCAACAAAACTCAACCCTTAAGAACACAGGAGACAGAAGTCTTTTCTGAAAATCAGTATTTCACAACTGACCTGGGCCGTGATCACACAGCAGGGGATTTGACGACAAAAACCAGAGTCCAAGTCTCACCAATTTTTTTTCTTCCCAAGCAAGACATTTGTCTTTTTTTTTTTAAGGAGGGAAGCAAAGTCTGTTCTGCAAACTTTTTTTTTTCTTCCAATGCAGAGATAGATCTCATTTTTTAAAATGTCCTTCACCTAACGTGCTCTTTCCAGGAAGCAGGCAATAAATCACACTGCGGTGGAAAAACCACCGTTGAACAGTGCTGCGGACACACGGCTTGTCAAAAACAGGCTCATTTCTGCCATGAAAAATGAAAAGTGACCCCACTGAGCTAAACTTGTAGATGGTGTCTGAGTTATCAAAACACTCGGGATTGTTTTAAGGCACGTGTGCAAGTCACATTTAACCGTGGCCAACGGCCCGGAGACGGCACATTTCCTTTGGTGTGGCCGGTGTGGACACGTTTCTATAACATCATGACTTGTGCGAGAGGGGCCCACACGCCTTCAAAGTGACACAAAGCATTGCTGTTTTCTGCGGGAATCATTGCATCGGCCTTTTCTGTAAACGGATTCAAGTTTTCATAGCAAGCTTGCGAGACAGCCTCTGCTACACAATGGGATGCGTTCTTTCCTGCTGTCTGCTTGATTCTGTGAAAAACGTGTTCACTGGAGACTGTTTTTAATTTGGAACGTGAGATTACCCTCTGTGGCGTCCTGACTCACGATGGCCATGTGGATATTAGCAATTCGGTGCCAAGAAGCATTGTGTTCGAATTTCAGGTCAAATTCGGTAACGCGGGGATGACTGTGACGTAACTGAAAAGAGCACATGAGGGGAACCTTCTTTGGGGTACAGTGACGTCACTCCCCCATGAATGCACTGCCTCTTTCTCTCTGTCTCTCTTTTATTCCCATGAGCAAGTTGGAAGATTTCTGTTTTCTTATCTCTGCTGTCTCCAGGATGGTGATAACATTTTGTAGGACCTGGGACCTCAACCCCGAGACACTATCCTCGGGTTGAGTGAGACCACCAATGGGGGAGACCCAAGAAAAGAACCTTCGATACTCAGAATGGGTTGTACTGATGACGCTGGCTTGCGTATAAAAGAGCTGGGCCTGCCACTGAGGGGGCCGCTCCCCACATCCACGGGCTCATGCCAGATAAACAGGCTGACCTCCATCGGCCTCAGAATGGGGCGCGTAGGAGGTGTCAGCACCAAACTTCCCTCTAGGGATTTTCCTCTTTGCCCCTGAACTTCTTCCTTCCCTTGCCTCTTCCCAGTTAGATGGAAAACCATCTAAAGAGACTGATGATTTTAATGTCACGAACCATGAGATCTGCCCTCTTAGCGCAGCAGGCAGCGCGTCAGTCTCATAATGTCATGAACCATGAGACAAAAAAAAGACAGGGAATGAAACTACCTGAACACTCTGTGGGAGCTGCTTACAGAAAAATTGGGATTTATTCCCAAAGAGCAGACAGACACATGGGGTGAGTGTTTTGGTTTTCTGTAAGAAAAGATTTTGATGAGTGATGGCTGCTAAGCTTTGTGTCTGTCACTTGAGTGGAAAAATAATACTGTGGCTGGGGTAGAAGATCTTAGACATCCCCTTGGGCCACAGAGTTTATGACTTTATTATCCAGATGAACAGTAAACGTGGAAGTGGAAAGAATGCCTCTCACCTCTCAACATGGCGGACGAAAAGCAATATGGCGGACGAAGCAAAAGCAGCAAGTGTTCACGCGTTCTCTGTTCTGCACATGACACGCTCTCACGCTTTCCATCCTCACAGCAACCCTCTGAGGGCAGTGCTGTTATACAACCCATTTGCAGGAGAAGACGTCAAGGTCCAGTAAGTTAACCACTTTGGTAAGAGTGAAGCCAAGATTTGAAGCCAAGCAGTACGCCTCTAGGCTCTTTGCTCTTCTCCCGGAACCAGCTAGTCTCAAAGCGTGGTCCCGAGACCCACAGGGATCCCTGAGACCTTTTACGAGGTCTACCAGGTCAAACTGTCTTCACAATAATGCAAAACATTCTTTGCCTCCTGGAGCACCAGTGCTTCATGGGGCTTACGGTGGATTTCCCCAGTGGCGACACCAGCTGTGAGCTGATGCGATGTCTCCTTGGGTGCTCTTGTGTTTAAAAACTTTCATTTCCAGGTTGAACTGCTCGTATGATAAACACTGACAGGTACATCCCACAGACACAAAACATCTCTGGGTTCCTGGATCAGTAAAGTGTGTACCTGGGTCTCGAGCCACAACGTTTGTGGACCATGGAACTCTACAATCCCACTGCTCCCTTTTGTGTGCACATGTGTGCATGTGAGCCCTTGGAGAGGAAGGTACCTCTCAAGCAGAAATTTGGGAAAAAAAAATGAAGAACGAAAGAAGCTTGCCAACAGTGGGAGGGGAGCCAACCTATCCTCGGACTTCAGCTCCGGCCGAGCTATTGTTTTTGTCTCCAGTTTCCCATTTCCTCTTGGTTCTGCTGGCGGCTGAATTTAAATGAGATTTCCAGCCATTACGGTGGCCTGCCACCAAACTAATGAAAACAATTCATCAGCGTGCCTCACTCAGGACTCTTCAGATTGGCAATAACACTTAACAAGAAACCATCGGCCATGGCATACGACGTTGCATCTAAATTCGAGAGAAAGACGGATTTAGCACTCGCTCCATGATGACGTGCTGGGAAATCGGGCCCTTCCCAGGGCGGGAAGCAGCTGCCTTTCTCACAGCTGCAGCCAAGACCTGACGAGTGGGGTCAGGCGGGAAGCTGCGGGGTGAAACGTGGACGGTTACTAGGGGCGTCGGTCCAGCTGCCCTTCGGCGAGCTGACAGTGGGCACAGACAAGACAGAGCTCATCAGCGGGATGCTGGAGGAGTAAGTCTCAAAGGCCACACATCCCATCGCACCTCCGACTGTGTTTCCCACTGGGATAATGGGATGGACGGAGCAGATTTTTACGTCAGCGGACCCACCAGTAAGTCCCATAACTGGGCATGGACAACAGGCCCAGCAGGCAAAACCAGAACGCCCTCGCCTGCAAACTCTGAAGGAGACGATCGCAAGCACCCGTGAGTCCCAGTACCTGTCTTCAGGCAGCGGCGCCCCGGCAAGCTTGGCCACCGTCGGAAATATGTCCATGTTGCTTGTCGGCTCATCGATCTCCAGCCCAGCCTGGATCACCCCCGGCCAGCGGAGGACGCCTGGGACCCGGATACCACCTTCCCAGTTGTTCGCCTTTCCCCCTAAAACAGACACCGAAGGAGAAGCATGGAGCAAATGTGCACATCTTTCCGGTACTCACTTCAGTGCACTCGTCAGTGCCCAACGTCAGGCAGCCCGCTTGGAAGAACCAAGTGCTTTAAAGACATGGAGTCCACGAGAATTTCACATTATCTGTTGTGTTGGAAAAAAAATCATAAATACACGGCATGGTCACTGCAGGCATGACACATGGCCGGAGCTGCCTGGTGGGCACAAGTCACGCCTTTGTACTCTGGGAGACGCAAATCTCGCAGCAACAAAGACTTATCACAATGACACTGGAGTCAGAGAGTCCCAATTCTACTCTACCTCTTTTTTTTTTTTTTAAACCAGCGGTGGCAGACATAAGAATGGTGCCCTCAATTGTCCACGTCCAAATCCCTGGTACCTTATATGACACAAGGAGAGATTATTCTGGATTATGGAAGTGGGTCGAATATAACCACGAGGGGCCTTCTCAGGGAAAGAGGGAGGCGGGAGAGATGGCGTCAGAGCAGCTGGGGCCATAGTCAGAGAGGGAGACTGGAAGATGCTGCGTCACTGGCTTTGAAGATGGAGAGCGCTGCCCCACGCCAGGGGACGCAGGTGGCCTCTCGCCACTGGAAAAGCCCAGGAAACAGGCGTTCCCCCAGAGCCTCCATACAGGAACACAGTTCTGCCGACAGCCTGATTTTAGCCCAGGTGGACCCATGTTGGACATCTGACCTTCACATCTGTAAGGACACCAATCTGTGTTATTTTGAGCCACCAACTGGGTGGTGATTCGTTATCGCAGCCCTAGGAAGTGAAAGCACCAGCTGGGCACATGAACAACCGTCCTGTGTCTCGCAGTCCGGCACGTTAGACGCAAGTCCGGCATGGGGTTATGATCCCCGGGGCCTGAAAGCCAGGAGAGCACACACGACGACCGCTGTCACCACCGCTGTGATTCTATAGCTGTTCCGGTCGGGAAAACCAGCTTCGTACACATAAGGCGATTCCAAATAAACTAAACGGAGAAGGAAACGGGTACTGGGAGGGGCCGGGAGGGGCCGGGAGGGCTGAGCTGGGAGATGGCCACAATGCCAACAGAAGCTGCTCCCCAGGGCCTCCCACCCGCGGACCCTGCAAAACACAGACAGCAGCCCAGCAGCTTCGCGCTCAGGGAGGTCGGGGCTGGGTCCCTCGAGCCGGGAGCACACGCAAGGACGGGGAACCAGACATGCCGCTTCCCCGGGAGTATTTCCCCAGGACTTTACACCAAGCTGAGCACAGAGCTGGACCCCAGAGGAATCATAACCTCGGGAAGTTAGGCTGGGGAGGAAGGGAGCGGGTTCAAGTTCAGCTCCTCGCAAATACCTTCCCAACACGCAACTGGCATGGAAAATTAAACAGACAGTTAAAAAAGAAAGTTGGAAGAGAACGCAGATTCAGAGCAGGGATACAGTGCCTGGACATGACTGATGCATGGTTCATACACGGACATAAATTCCACTTAAACTTAAAAAATGAAACGATGGAGATCTAGGTTTGAGGGATTTTGAAAAGCAAACCTTCATTTCTTAACGCTAGTTTCTAGTGAACTGTGGACTGAACGCTGATGACTGTAGACTGAATTCCTTGTATGGGCAAGATCTTTCCGCTGCCGGCACCCATATGTTTTATATGCACAGACATATAGGGAAAACTGTCACATGCGAATTCTTTATTGGTTTGCAATTTCTGTGGTGGCCAGCCTCCTAGGAAAGTTAAAATTCTTCCTCGTCATCTTTTCAGTGAGACCTTAAGGTAATTATCTGACCAATACTGTTATTCCTGCTTCGTGGGTTTCACACCCAAGAAATGAGAAGTTTGAATCACTTGGCAGAGTTCATTCAAGCTGTCACTAGCGGAGCAGTTGCAGGAGGCGTCACAACGTGTGAGTTAGTGTCTGATTAACCTTCCAGCAGATCAAGCTCACAGCACTCTCACTTTAAATTTAACGACAACAAAAACAAACCAACAAACAAAAAGTGGTTTCTGCCGAACCAGAAAGGGCTAGTTGAACTAGCGGCTAGTCTATACACTGATCGCCCCCCGGGTTAAAACAAAACAGAACAGAATAAATGGGAAGACAGACCAAAATGCTAAGATAATGGAAAAGCATCCTTGAACAGTCTACCCTTCCAGATGCAATGTGGCCTTGCAGATTGGATCCTGAAACTGAAAAAGGGCATTTGGTGGAAAATTCGTCTTTTGGTTGACAGCGATGGACTAAGCTTCTTTTCCTGACAAACGTACGAGGGTTATGCAGAAAGTTAACACTGGGGGAAGCTGGGGGAAGGCAGTGTTTTTAGAACAACAATGATTAAAAAAAAATGACAGGCATCTGCAGAATAAATAAACAAGATTATATCGCACAGCACAGGGAAATACATACGAGATCTTGTGGGAGCTCACGGTGAAAAACACTGTGACAATGAATATATGTATGTTCATGTACAACTGAAAAACTGCGCTCTACACTGGAATTTGACACAACATTGTAAACTGACTACAACTCAATAAAAAAATGTTAAAACAATAAAGTGATTATCAATATGATTGAAAAAATATATATATATTTAAAAACTTTTAACAGATGCGTGCACACACTGCCTATGCATTTGACGGGGCAGGATTCCACATTTCCAAGTATATGTTGATGAGCAACAATCCTTGCTGGTCAGATGGCAAGGCTCTGAGTCTTCTCCATCCTGCTGGATTGCCATGGAAAAGGATACACACAAAATGTACGTGTCTTTAAAAGTCCAGCACGCTGCTCTCCCAGGAACTGCTGGGAGATGTCATGTCATTGTCATGAAGTTCACAGGAATCAAAAGACTCACCCCCGCGCACGTGATGTGCTCACCCGACATTCGTCAAGCAGCGGCTTACTAGGATCAGGAATTTCGTGACGGCGTTCACCGTGTTCCGGGAACCAGCCAAGCTCATGACAGATATTAACTTATCATTACTCTGCAAAGTAAGTAAGTACCCCATTTCACAGTTGGGAAGACTGTGGCCAAGACTGCACAGCAAGTATGGTATCAGAACCTGTGCCGCTGAGAAACTCTACTCCTAGCCTAGTAAATTACGAGATTCTGCTATTATTCTCAGAATCCCAAAGGGAAGGCTTTCAATTCTTTGTGATGAGTATTATGTTGGCTGTGGGTTTGTCCTAAGTGCCTTTCATTATGTGGAGATAAGTTCCCTCTATACGCACTTCGATAACAGTTTTTATCATAAATGGATGTTGAATTTTATCTAATGCTTTTCCCACATCTATCGAGATGATCGTGTGACTTTTGTCCTTTCTTTTGTGGATGTGCTGTATCCCGTTGATTGATTAGCGTATGTTGAACCATTCTTGTGTCCCTGGGATGAACCCAACTTGATCATTGTGTATGATCTTTTTTTTAAAAATGTGTTGTTGAAGTTTGTTTGCTAATATTTTGTTGAGTAGAATCCCAAAGGGAGCTCAAAGATATGCCAACAAGGATCTTGCCCTGCAGAGGCTCCAAGCCTCAAAGGAGAGCTCAGACACACGCACAGAGAACTGACTGGGGACCGACAGAAAGCACAGGGCATTCTTCTTCCCGTGGAACGCCTGCCCTAAATCAACAGACTTTGAGTTGGTCTGCGAAGGAGAAATAAGGTTAGCAGAGGAGGAGGTGAGACTGCAGGGCAGATACAAGAAAAACAGGTAAAGGAATGTGGATTCTTTCTTTCCAAAAACGTATGAGCAGAGAAAAGAGCACGGTCTAAATTTAAAGTCTGGTCGCGAATTGTCAAATTCATGCTTTTAACATCCTGGTGGCACTCGGCCGGGATGGGAAGTCACAGACGGAGGATGGCTGAGTTACTCAATCTCTGCAGGCGAGAGAGAAATCAGAGACAATTCTGCCATTTACGTGGAGGCTCTCGTTGGGAACAGCTGTCTGCAAGCCAGGCTTCTATTTTTGCCCCGACAAACGCCGCGACCCAGCGGGTCAAATGCCTTTGAATGGCAAGAGCACATGCTCCTCATTTTTCTCCTTGATTTGGGCACAGACGTTTATGACATACTCTGTCTGTCTTTTTTCCTCCTCTTGGGCGTCTCCCCGCCCGGGTAACACTGACTCCCTGGATGGATGGGAGCCACAAACAAGCACGGGACAAGTGCAACTCACACCAAACACTTTCTCACCCAAGACGCTGTGGTTCCCACTCTACTCGACGTATTCATTCCACAGTCTAAAAACCCACCCATTCTAGATGGGAGAGCTGACAACACTGTCCAGGTTCTGTCAAACTAGCATCCACCTGCGATCAGGGAAAGAAAGAGAACAGCGATCTGCTCACGTCAGGGTCCAAGGAGAGGCAAACACTGAACAGACACCCTTCAAGTAACTGACACGGTAGGAAAAGTTAATGG